GAGAGAGAGAGAGAGAGAGAGAGAGAGAGAGAGAGAGAGAGAGAGAGAGAGTGTGTGTGTGTGTGTGAAGTTTAGTTTTAGCAAGAGCTTTACGGCACTTGCAACACAAATATATGTAAGTCATATAAGTCCTGAAGATTAAAAGTGTTTTTAGAGACAAACATAATATAACTAAGGAAAAAGGACGGATATGGACGATAGATGTTTGATAGAAAAGACGGAGAATACCCCACAAGAGCATCTGTCAACCATCCACAAAGAGTGCTGTTGGGGGGAAGGGAGGAGGCTAAGACACTGAAGAACAAAGATAGAAAGAGTGAGGTGGGTGCGTTAACAATAGATATCTGTTTTCTCCTTTTCTTTCTTGCTCTAATATCCAGGCCTGCTTAAGGTACGTCTGCCGCGCTGACATTTAGAAACGAAAGTGAAGGGTACACAAGAAATGTACCACACAAAAGGCAGACTGAGAGATGATTGTGTGCTTGTACACCAGGTTCTGCAAAGGGACAGATTTGTTTCTACTTGTACAGAGAAACACATTGACGCAATAATCGATGATGGTCATTTAGTTCAGGGAAAAAGCAAGAGAGACAGAAAGAAATAACACAGGGAACCACCTGCGCAACGGAAAGACATGATCTATACAGACCTCTTCTTGTTTTAGTAAGAGTTTTATGGCACTCGCAACACAATAGGGTCATATAAGTGCCGAAGAAATAATGGCGTTACAAGAAAGTAACAAACATAAAAAAAGAAGCAGGAGAGACAAAGACGATAGAAGTTTGATAGGAAAGAAAGGAGCAAACCACACCAGAGTACCCACCAACCACCCACTTACATTATGGTAAAAAAAACATACCTCACACAGAGATAGACAGGACAATAAATAAAGCACCCCGGCACAACTTTATTTTTTGAAAGAGTTTTACAGCACTTGCAAAACAATAAAGTCAAATAAGTGCCGAAGATTAGAGGTGCTACAAGAGAGTAACAAACATAAAAAAGAAGGAGAGGAGATATGGGCAATAGATGTTTGAGTTTTGATGAAAGAAGGACCAAACCACACCACAGCACCCATCAACCACCCACAAAGTAGAACAGGACAGAACATCTGCCTAAAGTACACACATTACATTTTGGGTAAGTTTTTAGAGACAAGGCCAGGAGCATTCTGTGACAAACAAAGCACCAAGCATGGCTAAAAAGATGAAAAACAACCCAAACACCAGTGTAATATCAGAGAACAATGTAATTGTTCCAGAGCAATGTCTCCACAACATTGTCCAAATTCATATCGTCGTACACGTATGTGTTTCTAGGGCATGAACCAAAAGTACAAAATTTACACAGTATGCAAGATCAAAGTAAACAGGCGAATTCAACACTATCATCCAGGAAAATATGGCAACCATTACGGCTCCATGAAAATTTAGAGAGTCAAACGCTCAAATTAGTGCACTCTTGTGTAATAAAAGTATGATATGCACTCATACACAAAGACAAAGATATACATACAGCAGACACACACACAAGCACCGCAATGTTTCGTGAATGCATATATTATATTAATAAATAAAAAAGATATAATACAATGTACAGTGACACAAATACACATGCAGTATGCATAGATCTATGAGTGCATTAAACCCCCTCTTGCTCACACTCACAAAAATGAGCACAAAACACACACAATACACACACCATTTTTAGGTATATATTCAGTCTTGCAAGCACAGAGCGAACATTCACATAAAGAATAGATTTTCATGCTGCGAATATTCTTTGTACTGTATTCAAAATGAGCACATTTTGTACAAAGCTGAAAGAATTGGTGTCAGCTTAGGTATATCAATCAAATTAAATATGACTAAATAATTTCATTTACTGGAGAGAGAGAGAGAGAGAGAGAGAGAGAGAGAGAGAGAGAGAGAGAGAGAGAGAGAGAGAGAGAGAGAGAGAGACAGAGAGACAGACAGAGAGACAGACAGAGAGAGAGAAAAGGGAGAAAGAGAGAGAGAGAGAGAGAGAGAGAGAGAGAGAGAGAGAGAGAGACAGACAGAAAGAGAGAAAAGGGAGGGAGAGAGAGAGAGAGAGAGAGAGAGAGAGAGAGAGAGAGAGAGAGAGAGAGAGAGAGAGAGAGAGAGAGAGAGAGAGAGAGAGGGGGGGGGGGGGGGGGCTCCATATAAAAGTAGACCAACAACCTGTTTTTATTCAGAGGGAAATAGTGTAAGCTAAGGATTATCCATTCCATACAGGACAAAAGAGTTCAACAGTAGATCCTACTAGTTCACTTCAGTTATGCCGGTTGACTAAAGACACGTTCCTGGTAATGTAACTTTTGTCAGTGTGCTTCCTCTTCAACAGATTTTACATAATTCAACAACTTTCTGGTGTTCTGGAAAGTTAGCTTTAGTTGAGGTTGTAGAAGAGTGGATCATGGTAGAGCAAAATAAGCAGAAAGGCGTCTCGGTTGAGGAAAAACGGCCAACCCTCATAAAGGCAGATAACAATTAAAGGTCATAAACAAAAATCTGCAAATTAAGTGAACTATGAATCAAACATGCATGTTGGTGTGGCATGGGCAATTCATTAAAAAAATTGACCTAGTGCACAACTTTGGCCATCTTCCCCGCGATCTAATCTGAAAATCCTACATAGTGATATTCTCAAAAGGAAAAGATTTTTGCGTTCTGCCAATTTTGCAATGTGCAAGCTAGACTGGGTTAAATGAAGGGCCTAACTTGTACACGAGCGAATATAAACATAAGCTCACAGACTCTCACAAGAGTGTAGAGGGTGAGAAAAAAATTTCAGATCAACACACATGTTCTTGCATCTTTGTAGTTTGAATCTTTACTAAAGATTTCTGTCATCAAAATCAAAAACCCAATGTTAAAAAACGACCATGACACATTCAAAGCAAAACAAAAAACCTCATTGCAAAAAACCCTAAAAAATTAGACTCGCAATGTTCAATGAGAAGTCCAGAGAGAAGTCTATCATTTGTTCTAAAGTAACAATCGTATCTACTCCATAAACCAAAAGAAGACCAGCCTTGGGCGGGTGAGAAGGGGGGGCATAGAGGAAAGCATCATGGTGGTTCAAAATAGACTAAAAGAGTGGGTGGAAACTGAAATAGAGGAATGCAATATTTTCATCACTCGGGTCACAAATGTACAAGTATCTTCACAGTTCAGAATCTGTGCGATACAGCATAAAAACAACCTTGCAGACTCACATTTACAAAATCAAAACTCAAGATTATCTTAAAATCTGAGAACACATAGGCTACAACCTACATCTTGACAGAACAAACTTCATCAACTTACACACTCATAAACACTGAAGCACATCTCTAGAGTACAAATTCTATTGACACACATACACTCAAACACACACATACACACACACCCACACAAACACACACTGAGATACACCCAGCCTACATTTCCTTGGTAATACCTGCGCCGACCACTCAGGACAACTCATCATACCAATCACAAAGACAAAGTTCATTAGATCCAATACACAGCTGTCTCCTATGTGGAAGGGACAGACTTTAAGTCATTGAGCGCCACTCACATAAAACAAACTCAAGTCGTAAAATTGCACTGAAATATTTCCCTTGCAAGGTGTGTTGCAAGTCAAGATCTCACAGATCTGCCTGTAGTAGATTCTACTAGTAGTAAACAACATAAAGCTGTCAACTTCAATATATATATCCAGCAATCCTGAGCGCCATTCTGCCAGCCAGTAGATTCTGACCTTAGCACATCCATGTCTCCTGTTTTCAGGTACCCAGTTACGAGCACATTGTAAATACTGAAATGCATTCCAAATTTATGGAGTAAAAATTTAATTTTGATTTTCAAGTTCCATGGCTGTGATTCCATAGGTCAGAGTGAGTCCAAATTCAGAGTGAAGGGTTTGTTTGTCGGAAAAGAATAAATTTTGGGTCAGTCCAGGAAGAATATACTGTTGAGATATGTGTTGCATAATCGCTTGACCTCATCTGTAGAGAGAGAGAGAGAGAAAAAAAACCAGCAACATCAGTTTTTCCACCTTTCATGATAATAATAGTGTAATCATTAAACAGTACATATTTAGGATGTTAATCATCTCAAAATAATATTATAAATTATATTCAAAATCTGTAGGGCCAATACTGCACATGAGAAGTTGACACTCACAAGTCTCCTTACTGCTTCAGCAAAGCTCACAAGAAGGGAACATGAGGCATGCAAGCCTCAAACTTCTCAAAGTCACTGAAAAGGGGAATGGAAAGACTTTCGGTTGTGGGAGCTCCTGAGACCACATGTCGGAGGATAGAGTGCTTGCCTCTCAAATCAAAATACCTGGTTTGATGCAGGGGAATGAGCTGGCACATCGGAAGAGAGCTCTTAGTTTTTTATCCCCCTAACCCATCGAGGTGGGGACTATCAATTTATCATGTACAGTCACGTTTCGTTATATCGCCACCCCAGGAACAGATGTGAAGTTGGGGGAAAAGCAGGGTTGACTGTTTAACGAGGTACCTCTGTTGTATAGACCCGACTGCCCAACGTCAAGGAACATGATTCTGCTGTGCGATTTGTGTTTGAAAACTCTTTTTCTTGGTGATATACATCTCTAGCCCCGCCAAAAATTGCATTTTTTAAATAGAAAAATAGCAAAAAATTGCAAGGTAAACTGCCTAAAAATAGCAAAAAAATTGCAACCTTCCCAGCCCAGGCGCATTAATATGGGCTTAACATTTTTAGTTAAAAAACATGGCAATTTGAGTACCGGTAGCATAAAAGCAGAACAGCCTTTTAAAAAATCATGACCCACAATATAAATTTTATTAACATTTATTAGTAGTAACAACATACGAGTACGTTAACAATAAAGTTATCGACCAAATATAATATAATACCGCGAGACACAAAATAACAGAACCCTCGGTTTTCGTAATAACTTTTAAATGAAGGCATAAAATTTGACCAAATTTAGTATATACCGGGTACTTGGTTCACGCAAAGATCTAGAAGAGTAGTATGAGGTTTAGTATATAAAAACAAAAAATTTTATGGGAGATTTTCGAAACAATCTCTAAATGCAAAATTAGCTTATGCCCCAATCAATTCAGATCCAGTTCTATTTTTCTCTTGAAATTGAAACCTTCGATACACCGGTAATCTGTATTTAGATCTAATTTCAGATATTTTCCTTTTTAAAACCAGTATGGTACTGTTTTAACACTAAGTGAAATCATAAAATACAGCAAATTTATTTTCCGATTTAATAGTAATAATAATATAGATAATTTCTATTGCGACCACTCCCGTGTGAACGCAGGTCAAATGGGAGTGTCTACGTACACGGTAACCGGGCATGTAGTCTCAGTGTCACGCACACGGTAACCGGGCAGTTCAGAGAACTCCAAGTTCAGTTTTTGTCATCCGGTGTTGCCTTCAACCCCAGCCCTTTCCCGACTGTACCTTTAAAAAAATCAATAATCCTCCCATTCCGAACCCCAATAGTTCACAGCGCACAGACTTTGATTGAACTTTGGTGACCCCAACCGGTACTCACAATGTGATGCGAAAACACAGGTTCACTGACCGGCCACGATGGCGAGCCCGACAAGACGCTTGCACATGTATAACTTTCTTCTTTTTTTAACAAGTGACAGCATAGGACAAATATTGATTTTTTTCATTCAGGTTACCGTGTATGCAGATACATGCATCTTGTACGAACAATATTCACGCGCGCCCGCCCACATACACACACACACCTTAAACTTACATTCACACACACATGCACAAAACACACAACTACTTTTTTTTTCACACACCGCACGCTTACACTTACACACATTAGATCTCTATGTCTCAGTTTGTGTTGTACATGACGTATTCTGGCCTGAATTTCCGGTTAGATCTCTATAGCTTATAGAGTATGCCCAGTCGACTAGAGCAGGGCTGAAACCATGATTTATGTAGGCCTATCGGCTCTGTACTCACATTATTTCATATTAAAAATTCTGTTAAAATTAAAGCGTTGATGTATTTCTGCCTAAAATTGCAAGAAATTGCGAAAATAGCTAAAAATTGCGGGTTTATTGCGGAACTCAACGACCGCAAGACTGCGATTTCCTGGGGGGCCAGACATGTACATGCAGGTATTCAGAGCTGAGAGTCTTCTCTCTCTCAATTTCTATGTCTTTCTCGTGGGAGCAAGGTTATCCAGTAGCTAATCAGCGGGTGTTTGTATGTCGTGTGCAGTGTGTAACTCCAGCAGTCAGTTCGCTGGCGATATGATGGGGTAAATTTGCATTAGTTAGATAAAGACCATATAACTCAGACAGTTAGCGGATGGCGGTGAGAAGGCGAAAATGGTGTTCCTTTTCACACATAGGCAAAACCTGATGGTTAGCAAGGCTGGCGGTACATCAGGGGGTGGGGGTCCTGGGTACAAGGAGGTTTCACTGTACGTACCGCTGTGTATATTTCAGAGTCAGTCCTGACCTTCAGTTTAAACCACCTGCCAATGTTCTATGACCCTGCAGTAGCTCACTGTTGATCTTGGTGTTTTTAGTTTTAGTAAAAGTTCTACGGCACTTACAGAATGAAAAGGTCATATATATAAGTGCTGAAGATTGGAGGTGTTACTAGAGAGTAACATACAAAGAAAAGAAGGAGGAGAGATAAAGACAACAGATGTTTGACGTGAAAGAAGGAGCAAACAACACCAGAGAGCTGCCGACCTCCCACTCACCATTGATCTCTATGAGGTTAGCACTGCGCTGATTGATCACGACGTAAAACTCCCTCTGCTCTGACTTCTTCCCCACCACCCAGTAGTCAGAGGTTGTCTTCACCATGGTCTCACCATCCTCATTGTCCCTGCAACACACAGACAAAAACACCTGATGTAAGTACACTGATGCTTCTCCCTAACTGGTAGATGGTCAGTCCGGCAAAAAGTCAGTCTATCGGGCAGATGTCTGGGCTCATTGATAAAAAGATAAGTCGCTGAGACAAGGGTTAGTCAGGAAAAAAAAAGGAATTGTCATTAGAATGTTATCAAATCAAAAAGACCAAACCACACAATAACATCCACCTCCCACCCATAACTTCATCAGAACACCCATCTGCTACCCTAAACTATGCCTAGATTCACATACTAAATGCCCCTCCTCCAAAAAAACAACAACCAAACAAACAAAAAACAAACCCAACAAAAATAACAAACAAACAAAACAACCCCTCCCCCCCATCTTAAGATGATTTTCGAAAACCTAAAAACAGGAGAATCAAATCCATTAAAGCTTGTCCTGAACCCAGGCAGCTCTTACGACCCACATTATGTGACCCTGACCTTGTGAGGTCGGCGTTGATGTCCCCGAGCAGACGCAGGATGTCCAGAGGGATGTTGACCCCTGACCTTTTCTGAAGGTCAATGTGCACAGTGGTCTGCTGGGCTAGGTTCATATGGTTGAAGTACAGGTACTTAAATACTGGGTCTGCCGTGCTGTCGGGGGAGCAAAGTTAGTTTATAAGAAGCACAGAGATATGATAATGGTCATTTAGTGTGAGAAAAATTGGTTCGACAGAAACGAGAAAGGAAGAGTACAGAAAAAGGACCTACCAGTGGCATCTTCCAACCACTCTCAGGACAGAGGAACGCAATTTACAGTACAGAGAATTACACAGTCACAATAAGGGTCATTTAGTGCTGATAATAAGATGGAAACAGACAAACAAAAACAACAGAAGGAGAATGAAGAAGTAAAGTCCACTTATTACATATCTATTAATCACCCATTTAACTAAAATAAGTCCCACATAGTTCCAGAAAATAAACAGCGACAAAATTCAGAAAAAGCACGCATTTGACACAGAAATGGCCATCAACCGATATGATTACAAATGTGAATCAAAATCCACACCATCCTGGCATTTTCTCTGATTAATAGTGAATGCTTTAAATCCTCATCAACACTATTATATTAAAATAGATCCATTAAGGAGGAATGTGGAGAAAAGGATGCTTCAGGACAAGTACAAAGATCAGAATTTTCAATACAAATGTTAAAAAAAAGTGTATTGTTGTATGAATCGGAACCCTGGAAGCCAACAAAACCAAGAGTTCACAAATTACAGTCCTTCAACAATGTTGGCCTGAGAAAGATAAAGAAAATACACTGGCTGGACACCATTAGAAATGTAGTACCATGGATGAGAACCAAGCAACCAATTGACAGGTAAATCAAAAAAAGAAGATGGTGGTGAACTGGGAACGTGCTTAGGAGCCACTCCACAATGTGGCAAAGCCTAAGGTGGGAGGATGAAGAGAGGAAGTTCAAGATCCATGTGGGAACAAGATCTGGAGGAAGATTTCAGGCCTATGGGGCACAGCTGGCTAGAGGTAGAGAAGGTCGCTCAGAACAGAGACAGGTGGAGAGCCTTTCTTGGTGGTCTATACCCAGACACAACATAGTGGCAAAGAGAAGGCGACAAACACTAGAATAAGACATGAAACAACACTGACACAGGAAGTTATGGAAGTGACAAATACGTGATGACAAGAAACAAAACTGATGATGTTTGGAAAAGAGACAAAAATCAACAGCTGGCAACATGACACAACAATGACATGCCAAGGCAAAGAGGCATTGATAAACAGGAGCCTACACGACATGATACTGACAAAGCGAGACAGCAAAGGGATATTGACAAGCAAGGACTGACTCAATGCAACACTGACACAACCATGAAATAAAGCAGCACGGCTAACAACCTGCTACCCCTGTGAAAAACAAAAAAAGTTACTCTATTCACACACTTACTTGAGAGCAGCTACTCTTTTCGAATACTGCTCCCCAATATCTGAGGCCAGTTTGCTCATCTGTGGCCCGAGGACAGCGTCCAGCTTGCGACATAAGGCCACATTCATAGGACTCTTTACTGAGGACAGAAACATTTCCTTTATTACACAATGTGACCATTCTGATCATCAAGTCAGGTCTGTATGATTAGGTAGGGTAGAACTTTGGACTGGCAATCTATTCCTATCAAACAAAATCTCACTAAAAACAGATTTTGATTTATGCCAATCATGACAGCTTACCCTTACATACTGATGAGCAGTGGTTTGCTTCATAGCGAAATACATAAGTGTCATGACGTGGTAGAACCAGGCGCTTGTCAATTTTTGGGCATATGGGGTTATTGGTATCATCTTAAAGCCTGTTCATTTGTCTTCCTTTTAGTGAAAAAAATATTGACCTGTGTCAAATAGAAGTCAAGATATTGGCTATTGAAGTAGGTCAGGGTCCCCTGGTTTCAGAGGTAAAATCATCGCGAAAATGGCAGCCCAGGTTTGGTAACTTCCATAGCCAGAGTCCTTGGAAATTGAAAATTTACATTTTTTTGTGCCTTTCGTCAATGTTTTTCAGTAAAAATCCACACATAAATAATTATGTATTTAAATGGACATAAAAGTTGTTGAGGCAAAAAAAGAAAATAAAAAAAAATATGCCAATCGGCCAAAAAGCTGCTGATGTTTTTTATTTCATTATTTTGACGAGCGCCCATTTTCACCACGATGCCTCACATATGCTACAGTATAACAACATATCTGACATTCCCTATTTGAAAAGAATAATGATTCACGGGTGTTTGATTTAGGTGGGATCTTTGAGTCAGGAATTTAATTTGTTCCTGGTGTTGTGGTGTTGTCAATTTGGAAATGGTTTGTCTGTGAAATTCCCCATATGATCACAAATAAAACATGTAAAGATATAACAACCAAAAATATCAGTGAATGATTTATACCCAAAATCAAACCTCAAATGATTAGATAACACTCACAAAGTCCTCAACAATAACAAAACATAAAGAAATAGATTTGCTTTTTCCTTTTTGCTTGAGTTCAGAGGAGCACATTGACACAATGATGGTCATTCAGTGCTAGGAAAGACTAAAACAGACAGAAACAACTGGGAAAGAAAAGAAGTAGGACCTACCAGTGGTGCCTTCTAACCATCTCTACTAAATTTCGAGATTTAAACGTTTAAAAAAAAAGCATCACTTGTAAAATGCGGGTAAGAAAAACAAAGCAAAAACAAATGGTTACCAGTGGTATTAAAACAGAGAAGAGAGGAGATTGTTTAGAGGTAAAGGAGGTTTCCCACCGTTGACCAGAAGGCAGATGGTGGCACTGAGGGCGGTGTAGACAATCAAGTAACATTCCTCGTCCAGCTCTTCTGTGTTGACATAGACACGTGGCACCTTGCCCATGTTCTTGTCGTCACTCAGGTCTGGAGGGCCAGTCATGAACCTACGGGAGAGAGGTGTGGAAGGGGGGAAGGAGGGGGGAATGAGAGAAAGGAAAAAAGGAGAATAAGAGGGAAGGGGCAAAGCGAGAAGGTAAAGGGTGTGGGGCACAATGGGGAGGAAGGAGGACGAGAGAAGAATATAGGAGGGAAGGGAGAGTAGTTAGAAAAGAAAGATAGAGGGGAGTTGGAGGGAGAGGAGAGAAGGAGGAAAAGGAGAATTCACATAGCAATTCACATAACAACACAGAATTTTTCACACGCCTGAAAAGGTTACTTGTCAGGTGTAACAAAGAGGCATAATGGAAATATGTTTTACCGTCGACAACAAAAGCAGGACAAAAACAGAAAGAACCCAATAAAGCTTGGTTACAGCATCCACATTGATTTCTCACTAACATATGGTGCCAGTACACACATTGACTTCAAACGTGTGGTGATAGGTAGCCCTTGCAATAACCACTAAGCTGTCCACAGAGCACAAAAGTGAGAGTCTGATAACACTGCCAAAGGTCACTCACAACCAACTACTGCCTAATGTAAGTACACGGTGATCCAAAAAAAACTTTCCAACTTGTTTTGTAAATATCTTCCTCCATACCGAAGTTTTGTGTTTCAAATTTAAACATAACGTTTGGAAGCCAAAAGGAATTTGTCTGATACGTATTTTAGATAAGTCCATTGAATGGTTTTGCTCTATATAGCGCATAAAAAAACAACCTAATTTCAACCTTGTCGCCATTTTCATAGCCTGACGCACCAGTTCGCATTAGGCCTACCACTAAAAGTTGTAACAATCGCGCCATATTGCAAGCTACATCAGTCTAACAAGTCAACAGAAGTCTACAGATATTATATTTCCCAAATTTTGTTTGCCTGCTGAGATCATGGCTACGTTTAGTAAAGAGCAGAGAGCTTTTTGTATTGAACATTACCTCTCCACAAACTCACCATCCCTGACATTTCGTAAGTTCTGCACACCGCATGGAGAGAATGCTTAGGTGCCCTCAAGACCTTAGGCGTCATGAGTGGAGAAGTTCCGTTAGTTTGGATCTATAGCGAATCAGAACTAAAAAGTTCTTTTAAAAATGACCACTTTAGGTCGAACACGCACCATGCGCAGCCCTTTAAACGTCACCAGAGTGCAGATTTCAGAAGCCGAGTCCCATGAGACGTCTGTCCGTAGACGATCTGCAGCTAGGACTTTCCTACACATCAACAGTCTGCATTCTCATGACACATCTTAATCTACGACTATACCATGTTCATCTTCGCTGGGCCGAGATGACATGGATCAGAGCATGGCAATGTGTTCATTATTCCTCGAATGTCTTGTAAAGAGGGATCATTTCCTCGATGACGTTTGGTTTAGTGCAATGCCCATTTTCACCCTGCGGGATATGTTAACTTAAAAAATGCTGTCTATTGGGCACCCCCACTCTATTGTCTCTAGAAGCCATTACTTAGTGAACATGTACGGTGTATGTGGCTTTAAAAACTCATGGCTTAGCAGGTCCTTGTGTTAGGGAGCCACTGAACATTTCGAACGACGTGTTAAAAATGTGTCGAGTCCAAAGAGGGGAATGTGGAGCACTGCTTCTAGGAATTTCAGAATGAAATCATTAGGTTTTTAAAACTCTGTAAAAGAAATTAAATATCGTTTAAATGTCACAGGGATGGAGACTTAATGTCAAAGAGAAAATAAAGAAAAAGGTCAACTTATCTTTTCACGACTTCCTTTACAAGATTTTTAAACATTGGTGAACTTTGCGTTTTTTTGTGCTTTTTTCTTTTAGCCATTTCCGTTTTCAAAACATGTTTCTTCTTCGTGAATTTCATATCAAACAAATTCCTTTTGAATGAATTATGTCTGTTCCAAATTACAACATTCTAGAACAATTTTTGCGCTAGATATTCAGAAAAAAATTTGTAAAGTTTTTTTTGGATCACCCTGTACACTGCTGATCCTCCCCGGCATGTAGATGGTCATCCAGTAAGTGGTCTGGACAACCAGATGTCAAGACCTGGTCAGTTTGTGTTGGTTTCCATCTGTACTCAGTGATATAAAAGTTTAACTGCTGACTTCATTGGCAGTGACCATTCACTACTACAAACCGACCACAAAATATTCTATGTCGACTGTTTAGTGTAAGATTTCATCATACGTCACTTTTCAAAATGATAGCGTAAGGTGGAGTCTAACACTAAGCAGTCGATATCTGTTTGGTGTATTGGCAGTGATGACACACACAATTCATTACTGACCACAAACCCAAGTTAAGAGGCTGAACTCACTTTCCGTAGTGTCCAAACCCTGAGGGCTGCCTGCTGTGTCCGCCCTGTAGCTCCTGCTCCAGGTAGGTGGGGAAGAGGCTGGCAGTCAGATAGCGGTACATGATGCGCATGTCCTCCTGCTCCAAACCACTCCTGAGGACAAATACACACATTCCATGATTTACTGTGGGTTGTTTTTTTGTTTGTTTGTTGTTGTTTTTTTTTTTGGGGGGGGGGAGGGGAGACAGAGGGTTGGTTTTAACACGAATTAAAGCTGAACTAAATATAAATAAACCAGTATCTGTGGTGTTATGGATAGGCTCTTTGTCATTGCATATTATTTAGAGAATTTGTATTCCTTTCCTGAGTGGGGATGTTTTTGTTTTTTTCTATAGCATCTCCCTCTGTCTACTAATTGTGTCAAACATTAACTAAAACAATACACACAAATATGTCATTTTGAAGGTAACGCCCACTTTGAAACTTCAGATGTCTATTTTCTTTAACAAGACTGAAGGTAAAAAAGAGAGGTATACAAGAGATGTAGTAAAGAAGGACAAAAGATGCCACCCCTACACCCCAGAGACTCCAGCTTCTGAGTGGCACCCTTTCAGAGGGAAAGTTGCAGAGGACTATGGAGAACTAGAAAAATGAAGGAGAAAAACTGGCTGACCACTAAAAAGATCTATGACAACAAGAGTAGGTTAACTTTGTTGTTGTTATTGATCAAGTCACCTTTGAGCATGTGCCCTCCGGGTCAGTGCCATGTTAAAAAGGTGGAGGTCTTCAAAGGTTTTTCTTTGATGCAGTGTAGGGTGTTGTCTGTGGTAGAGACAGGAGGAAGAAGTAGCAGAGATTTTGTAGTTTGGGATATTTGTAGAGGAGATGTGGACTGTTTCGTAGATGTGGTAAAAAAAGTAGCTACATATATTATGTCAATTTTTAAACCTGAAAACTGATGAAAGAAAAATAGAGCTAATGGAAGAGAGAGGACAAGAGCAAGCCTAATGAAAAAGATGTAGCAGTGAAGTGTACATGCAAGAACTGATGAGAAACAGGATGATGTAGCAGAGCACAGAGAGTGATCTCTTTCCCCAGAACAAAAATTCTTTAAAAGGACTGGGTTCTTAGGCCACATACCCCATCATCACAATACATGTAGACCAATACGGCAAAAACACTATCATCTAGTACATCCATGTGCACTTTCGTGTGTATGAACATGCCAGTATAATTGTATACGTAAGTGTTTTTGAACATATCAGTCTGTGAAATCATGAACTTTTGACATTTTTGAACTTTTTCTCTCCTAGTCTGAAGAGAAAAGATAAAGAAATAGAAAGATGGCGACTTCTTTCACTGACAGGCAGACAAGGTGAGTGCGTGAGAGGTTGAGGTGAGGGGGCAGGGACTGAAGCAAGATTGAGGGGCACAAAATCTGAACTGTGACTGACCAGACCAGTTTCTCGTTGTAGAGGAAGGAGGTGTACTTGATGAAAGGGAAGGTGGCCTCCAATGTGTTGATGAAGCACTGGATGCGCAGGTAGGTGTTCTTATCCAGGGGTAGGAAGGTGATGCCATTGAACACATCCAAGATATCGCCCTGCGGCAGCTTCAGTGTGAGGAGATACTGGCAGACACACACAAACACAACCAGGTCAGTCAATGACACACATCCTTCAGGTGTTAAGTACCTTCAGCAAATAACAATTGTAGAGATTTGTGCAATAATTTTCACAAACATACACAAAATACTACTACTATAACCAAGCAATAAGCAATATAAACAACTTTCAAAACAGACTGTTCTGCCAAAGCCAAGGGTATGCTCTACAGCCCACATGATGATAGAATTCAGTTATTCTGATATAAGCAGTTGTAATTAAATTTATAAATAACACCATTGTTTGAAAATATAAAATAACTCCAGAGTAAACAACAAAGACACCAAAACGAATTGTCTCAGTGGGGTCACTTGCCTTTCTAAACTATATACACCCCATCCCCCCCCCCCCCCCCCACCGTCCCCTTTTTTCTCACTGTCCAATTTTTGTTGATTATTTTCTTTCTGCTCTCTTCTCCTCTCTCTCTCTCTCTCTCCACTTCTTCACTTCTCGCACACATGTCATCATCATCATCATTGCCTTTCTCACCCTGGGGCAGGATATAGGCCACGAACATCGCACACATGTATTCATTACTTAAGAGATTTTGCCGTAGACAAAGCACAGAGACTCCTATGGCATTCATACTAACTTAATCCTAAATCCTAAACAAAGACATGCACGCTTTCACATACTCATGAAAAGCACACATATACACACACAGACACACATAGAAACCCACTTTGCTGTAGAAATGCTCTAGACGTTGCTTGAGTGAGTCTACATTGCCATCTGCCCTCATCAGGATGGTAGTGAATGTGCCGTTGAACAGCTGTAGGAGTGGATTACAACACACAGAGATGGAGTTGTGTCATAAGGTACTGACAGGCACACTAGCTGTTTAGTCACTTTAGCAAATACTCAGCCTAACAGCAAGGTACAGAGCTCAACCACTATACCCCTACAATACAGATACCATTTTTGTTAAGGGGATGTGCGTAAGAACAGCAAAAAAAAAAATACATCAAAGAGATCCGCACTTACAGTTCGTATTCTATCTTCCTATTCCTTCCTCATATCAGTTTGTCAAGGACTTTAAAAAAGAACTAATACAAATACAAAATGTCACAGTAGTTTCTGAGAGCTCTGTGGGTGTAACACAAAAGAACAGAATCAGGATTCTGACAAAGCAAAACTGACATGAGCCAAATGTTCCTGAACTTTTAGAGAAGAAAAATGAAGATTGTTCTACAGTTTTTTCACCTGTGAGACAGTCTTGACAACTGCATGGAACAGCAAAATATTTGAAAAAAACCCCACAAAACAACAAAACTTAAGCGACCTGTATCCCAGTACAGACCAAATAACACATTCTAAAAATAAAGCTGAAGCTGTATAAACTCAGATAATTATTTTGAATGCATTTCACATGAATATTTGGCAAAGACATTTATAGTACAAGTAATCCTCTAAAAGGCAATGACATTTTCATTTGTTGGTATCATCATATGTAATGATGTCCGTTGTACTTAACCCTCGTCCTGCGGGGGCCGGGTTTATGTCGCCCGATAAGCCTATTTCGGCACCTCGCCTGTGTTCTGGTCCCGAGTCAGTCTAGCCCCTGGCTCAGCGTACGCGCACCGAGCATCATCTTACATGAAATTCGGGTCCTGAGTCGGATCCCCATTCACATGGGTCAAGTGTGTGTGCGTCAGTCTGCTTCAGTTAGTGTGCATTTGTGGCCTACTTCTAGAACCGCCTGTGTTGATTCGTAATCGAGGCATACATCTCATTCAAAACACGCCAAGTTGGTAGCTCTAGATGTTCGCCCAATGAAATCTTAGAAAAAATTGACCCACTTAGACATGAGGAGCTCGAAAGGATAGTCAGGAAACAAGACTTCCATTTTTCTATACAAAATCTTTCAAATGAGCTTGATTTTGTATGAAATGATATTACCTGATAAAAAATAAGCTTGTTTGATAGTTTTGAATACCATGGTGCAGGTATAAAGAACAATTTGAGTGCAAAACATTCGGAAATTGACCTATATTATCCCCTTTCGAACCTCAGGTCATTCATAACAACAAGAGCATCTAGAAAGGTTATTCGAATGGGCATAACTACTCGTAATGTCTTACCAGCTTGTGAGAGGGGGTCATCCATGTGTTTGTAACACTTTATAAATAGAAAGCTATGAAAGATAGAGCGTTATTTTCATCATCGATTAACACACTTAAACGGTATTCATGGCGAGAACACACGTTTCCTGGCGCGCTGTACACCAACAGTACACACTGAGAGACCCCGGCGGCCTGCCCGGAACGTCCAACGTAATCGGTTGCTGATAAGATTTGCATCTCAGCACAGACGCAGGACAGGAGTTAATGGTGCAGACAGGATTACAAAGAATGACAAATTTCAGACTATAATAACTCGCAGGCTTTTAACACAATATGGAGGTCAGTCCAGAGTGAGTAACGAAATACAAAGCTCTATTAGACACAAAAATGTCATTTTGAAGGCAACTTCAATCTGTGCAAATTCAAAGATCAATATTATTTTTTTAAACAAAACCATAGCCTCTTTTGATAAAACAGTACGAAAGAGAGGTGGACAAAGGACTACAACAGTCAGGAGAGAAGAAGTCCACTCCAACCTTTACATCCCTGAAATTGAAAAGTATGAGTAGCACCCCACTAGCAGAGAAGAGGAATACACTGGTGCCACCAGGCAGCAAAATTACCTTGAACATCTTGTAGGCCTGCCTTAGGATGCACTCAAATACTGAGTCCTGCACATGATCATCCCGGTACTCCGTCACTGTCTGACCGTCCTTGACCTTCTCTTTAAAAGGGATGGACACACTCTGAAATACAAGAACATATAGAAGTAAATATCAACACATGGCTGTTCAGATGAATGACAATTTATAGTCAGTCAGGGCAGTAATGGAAACATTATGGGAGAAACAGATTAGGAAAATGAAATTAAAACATTGAAAAAAGTAGAAGAAATAGATTTCATCAAAGCACAAATGTACCATCTGCACACGGACACACATAGTGGATAGAAATCTGAAGCTTCAAGAAATATTACGTATACAACCACAAAGTGACATCATTAGAAAATAAAAACACATACAATCTCCTATGTGCACACACATATATATAACATGTACATACAAAGAGACAAATGCAACTGAAAGATACTGGGCACAAGTGAGCTGATGGTGAGAGATGATCTAATTCAAGACTTTTTCAAGGTGCTCAACTGTTATAAATATATACGGTCAAACCTGCCCTAAGAGTAACAGCTACCTGTCGAAGACATTCACCTGTACAAATGACCACATCCCATTTTCCTTTTTTTCTCTCTATATATATACAGTCAAACTAGTTAAAGACAGCCACCCATCGTCAAGGAGAAAAGTGGCTGTTTCAGACAGATGGACGTCTTGCACAGTGTCATTAAAACGTAAAAGACACTCAATGGGGGAAAAGGGAAGTGGCTGTCTCCTCAGGCGATAGAGTTATACAGGCTGCTGTTGGAGCAGATTCCACCATATATTGCAATGACACTGTTCAAGACATCCCACCTGTCTAAGACAATCACTTTTTCTCTAGAAAAAGGTGGCTGTCTTGGATAATTTTGACTGTATATGCATATGAGTTTGTACAGTTATTACAGACTAAGGTTATCCCTGGAGAAAAAAGGGCTGGAAATTCAATGACATACACATAACTGTGATGTCCTTGTTGTGTTCCCTACATACCATAACCATCCAGAAACAGGGCTCCGGCTCGAAGAACACTTGTCGTGTCTGTTGCGTATGCATGCTCTGACATGGCTTGTCAGAGAACGTGCTGCAGAGAACAACAACATTTTCCAGTTATTTTACACACACAAGTGCCAAAAATGATCATAATGTAGGGGACAACTGTTATACATCCATGTCACTGAGACAAAATTTAACACTTCAATTTATCCGTAAAAAAGTACTTCCTATATTTGCTGTTAACTTGATGTAGAGCTAAAATGACTAAATCAGCATATCAAATTATACTCCCACCTCTCCCGACAGACACACCCATAATAACAAAAATGAACAATAATTCTTAACACTTTGCAGTCACTTGGCATTTGACGCAATAATGCGCCGGTGAAAATTATCCGTTCCCGTCACCTGGGTGCGCCAGGCCTGAGAAGCCTGTTGCAGTCACTCTCCTGGCTGGGTGACCAGCTGGGGTATTTTGTACTGCTGGCTGTGTGGCTGCAAAGTGTTAACAATAACAATAACATCAGACCATTTCCATTTTTCCACATTCAACTTTGTTAATGTGTGCTAGCTAATAAGGAAAGGAAAAATCGATCACAAATAATTTGTCAGTCCTTCACTTCTATCCTCTTCTTTTTAACTTCCCTACCCATCTGACTGAAAGCAATTTTCTCACTGTCATGACATGATAGGTACCTATAGCAATCGATATGTTTCAGGGGGCAGCCCATCATACTTACGCAGCAAACCGAGTCACTGCCTCACTCAAGCCGATCCGCTTTACCTGTGTATCTATGTCAACATCTGGAGGATGGAAGAACAGAATCTTTTTGTGTTCCTGTAAAAACAAAACAGAAGGTTCAACAAGTTGAAAGGAATATATACAGCATTAAATAACAACAGCCAAAAATACTGTATTGCTTTTAACTCACTCAGTACCACGACCACAACTGTTGTGGGTAAAGTAGCTCCGACGCTGTGATACCACACCCGCAACCCTCATGGTTTGCACTTTGGAATTTTTTGTCTCAAGACAAAACCGCACCGTTTGTGGTACTGGGTTCGTCTTTTTCGTAGCCCATTCAATAATCTTTTCTTACGAAGAAATGAAACCGAAATTGGACAACGGCAAGTTGAGTAATTGACTTTTACGACAACCGCCATTATAACTGAATTTACATACATTTCCCACAATGGCAGATCGCTTGTCTTTGACCATTTTCGAACATTTGACAACGAAAGTGACCCAGAAACCGATGCACTGGTTGAAGATTAGATTGTTATGACGAACTGGGTGGGAAAATTTGCAAAGAAGAGTAAGGTTTAGTAGGGCACCCAAAACCTAATAATAATAATAATAATAATAATATAATAATAATAAAAATAGCATTTGTATAGCGCATAACCCCGCTCGACAGCAAGCTCTATATATGCGCTTTACACTATATTATTACCCCAGCAGACCATAGAACACTCAGAAACTTTCTCAGCTTCCCGGGAAGCATACAGTGCAAGCAGCTGATTAAGCGTTCAAACACTAACAAACTGACAAGATCTTTCACTGTCTATAGCTGGGTACCCATTCCCACCTGGATGAAGTGAGGAAAACTCGTGTAAAGTGCCTTTCCCAAGGACACAACGTCGGGTCCCTGACAGGATTCTAGATCTAGGGTTGCAGTAGTGGGGAAGTCGGGAAGAGCGTGAGTAAGAAAGGCAAAATAGAAAAGCAGTTTTTGACCAATTTTTTAAAACTTGTGAAAAAAAAAGTAACAATAAAATAAAGCTGTAATTTCATCAAGGCAATCTTGATCAAATTTCAAGTCTCTATGTTAATCAGCAAAAGCACGGTGATTTTTAAAAATTACCCAAATGGCAGGTATACAGGGAATAGCGACCCCGAAAAACCATACATGGCTGGTAGTGAGTGAGTTAAAGAGGGAATTCAAATATTTCCATACAACATTATTCATTGCCCATTCGATGATGCTAAGCGTAGTCAAATGTGACCTAACAGGCTCATTGACTTCTATGCTAACACAAGCAAAATACTTACTTTCATGACCAGAGATTAATTTAATTGATGCTGAAAAAAGAAAATTCAACAGTTAAATTGATCTTTCGCATTTAAATTTAAAATCTCTCTTATGAAGTTCTCTGTACACATATCTATACAGCATCACCATTACTGTAAGACACAGTTAGTTTTCTTGCTGCTGACTAATTACTTTCCCCTACGGGTGAGTGTGATTGTGGTCCCACAAGAAATAGAAAGTAAACAGAGAGGCAACACCGTATGGTAAGCAGCCCAGTGGCATTTGTCATGAAACTCTGAGTAAGGGCAAAAACCAAGCTGAATAGGGGAAAGGAGTTCCGCAGAGGGCCTGCCGACCAAAAACACACAGGACATTTTAAACGGGGTATACCCTAACCCTAACTCTTCATAGTTTGCATTGTGGATCTTGTCGCGGTACATGCTGGCCCTCTGCGGAATTCCTCCCGAATAGGGTGCACAAATTAAATGCCCATTGACAATGTTTAAGTAGTGGGTAGGGCTACGGTCAATTGAGGGTGTTTCCAAAGGGGTAGAACTGGCCTGCAAAAAAGTTGATTATTTGATTCAGATTCAAAGAGAACGGTAAAATGCTGTAGAATATATATATATGTGACCATAGAGTCAAATTTGTGCTTCTATGGAATAAATTTGAGCGAACAGGTAAGAGAATGTGTGTTGACCAGAATTCAATGAATGAATCATGAATCACAATATTGACAGTCACAAGTCAGACACACCAAGGACCACAGTACCAGAATCACGGGACACTGATTTTAGGCAATATTCACCCACTTGAGATCAAAATAAGAAGGACCGAGTACTCAAATGGGTGCAAGATTAAGAATTCATACTAGGAAGTTGTTAGGCACACGCACCCCCGCCTAACACTGAATTTTTAGGAGCACATATTTTTTCAAAGTCAAGGTCCTTCGGCGTTCTCCGACCCCCAATTCATTTCACCAGCCTGTTTGGGAAGGTACAAAGAGATTGAGATTTGTGAAAATATGGATGATAATTTGAGATCCAGACTGTTAAAATCAGCACATTTGATTTGGACATTGACGAGAGTGATGTGTACAAAAAATTATATTTTGGCTTGCTTCAAGCATTCCATCGCATGAGATGAAGGAAAATGAAGCGCGCTCACAGAATTAAAGTCGGGATGAGAATATGGGAAAAAAGATACGGTACATGAGAAACAAAAGGTGAGAGATAGGACACAGGAGAAGGGACAGAAGGTGGCATAGGAACATGGGACTGTGTGAACCGACACTGAGAGAAAATGACAGGACGAATCAATTACAGTTCTTATTACAATAACAAGCACCTTTCTTTCTCTCCATCCCCTCCCCTCTCTCTTTCCCTTTAGAACTCTTTCTTTTTCTCCCCCCTATTCTCTCTCTCTTCCTCTCCCTCTTTCTACCCCCCTCTCTCTGTCTCTCTCTCCCTCTCTATTTCTCCCCCCCCCTTCTCTCTCTCCTTCTCTCCCCCCTTCTCTCTCTCTCTCCCCCCTTCTCTCTCTCTCTCTCCCTCCTTCTCTTTCAGTTCCTCTCCTCTTTCTTTCTCCCCCCCCCCCCCCTAGGCCACCTCTATTCTCACCCCGGGTGAGAATAGCGCAGGCGAGCCTTTTGGCTATTCTCACCCGGTTTGCGTTCACCGTTATAGCCTAGGCCAACCAGAGTTGCGTTCAGCCTGAACCACAGAATTCTACACTGTGAAAACAGAATTGTAGAATTCTGTGCCGTGAACAAACGTTCCAGGACAGCGCTCTTGTGTTATTATTGTTAGCCAAAAAGCGTTGCAACTTTGTCTGTGGGCAGTGGAAAGAGAGAGAGAAAAAGGAAGAGAGAGGAGTAGCAGTAAGTAGGCTAGCGCGAGAACTTCCGGGCAAAACAAAATGGCGACCCGCACAGTTCGGCTCGATTAGAAAAATTAAAAATAATAACCATAGCACCTTTGTAGATGACCAAATTAATTTACTTTTGAGTTTTAACGTCATTTTTAAACTTTGTTTTGGTCAATTTGATCGTCTACACCGATAGACAGTATTCAGAAAGAGACAGAGAGAGAGAGAGAGAGGAGAGGAGTAGATCTTGCAAGATCATCCAGGCAAAACAAAATGGCGACCCCCGTAGTTCGGCTCGATTAGAAAAGTGAAACAGCCATCAAAACATCTCTGTAGACGAGCAAATTAGTTTTTACTTATTGTGCTCTAACGTCATTTTTTCTTTGCTTTTGTCAATTTGATCATCCACACCGATAAACAATATTTCGAAATTAGGAAAAACAGGTCTTGTTTTACACCGGGTGAGAAAAGCCAACGCTGGCAAGTCTCACCCGGGGTGAGAGGTCAGTCGTATTTTTATTCTCACCCCGGGTGAGGATAGCCACTTCCTTCTCTATCTCTTTCTCCCTCTTTCTTTTTCTCTTTCTCCCTTTCTCTCCCCCCCCCCCCTTCTCTCTCTTCCCCTCTTTCTAACCCCCTTCTCTCTCTCTCTCTCTCTCTCTGCTTGCAGACAAAATTACACGCTTTTAACTTTGACTCAAAAGCGCTGGAATTACAAGTTTACTTTATCACGGGCCGTCACGCGCTAAGACAAGGTCGCGCCCGTACGCGAGATAGATCTCGGAGAAATGAAACATCTTGGTGGTAGAAAATCTTTGGTACTACTGTGATATCAATGTCACGGGTCAATAATTCTGTAGAGCTGTGGAAGCGTGTGTCTGCATCTTGCGTCTCTAAAGACTAAAACAGTGCAGGGTTGTTGAAGCGTACCGTACACGCGTACCACAGTTCAGTAGGCCTACTGGGGAAGTGAATGCGTCCCTAACAGTAACAGTTCAGTGCTGGGGAAGAGTACGCATCCTTAACAGTGTAGAGTTCAGGAAGAGTATCCCCATGTGTGCCCCTAACACAACAGTTTTTTAACAGTAACAACAGCCTTCACAACTAAAACTTCACTATTCCTCCCGCTTGATATCAAAATAAGAAAACGAAACAACTGTACTCTAACAGGTCCAAGATTATGAATATTATTCCTGTGAAGTCTAAAACATACAAAAATCTACTCTGTTGCATCGGTATTCTTCTCACTGTCAGTATTACTATTCTAGCGCCTAGTATTCTGAGCCGATCAAGACACAACAAGACTGTCAAAATCAAGATGAAGATGGGTAGCCTTTGTCCGTTCCATACCTCTCCTTCCTTCGGTCCATATTCTGTGTTGAAAACATAAAAGTGGAGGAGTGAAGCTTGCCCTCCACTCATGTTTCGTTTGTTTAATGTTGTTCTCTTTGAAAAGGACAGTAAAATTAGAAAAGGATAAGAATAAGGGCTAAACAAACAGTACTTCGATGACTACTATTTGTTGACAGTCACGAGCTGCCATATTTAAAAAGAGAGGTCACTGCAACAATTAAGTACGACTTGGTGGTGTCAGAGTAGTGTCCCATTGGTTGTGACAAACCGGGTCGATTAAAAAAAAGAAACAATTTTTGTTTTTGTTTTTTGTGTTTGTAGATCTGTTGTCGTTTGTTTTTTTCACTTTTGATCCATGTTTGCAATCTGCCGTTAGATCTCACAGAGACCGACCTCCGTGATAGAAATGAGACGTGCGGTTTCTAATATTTTATGTAATAAAAGTAAAGAACTAAACAAACAGTAGGGGCCTACATTATGTTCAGAGGACCAACATTTGTCTACAGTTTACTTACAGTTACAGGCTTCAAGTAAGCATAATAATAATAATTACATTACAATGATAATGACGATACTATGTAGACTAAATAATAATAATGATGATTTAAAAAAATATTTAAACATGATATTAATAACAGGCAGCGCAGCAGCAGCAACAACAACAACAACAACAACTACAACAACAACAACAACAACAACAAAAGTAACAACAATAATAATAATAATAATAATAATAATAATAATAATAATAATAATAATGATGATGATGATGATGATGATGATGATGATGATGATGATGATGATACAAATAATAAATAATAATATAATAATAATGATGGTAATAATAATAATAATAATAATAATAATAATAATATTGATAAAATGCTTCCCAAAGTCCAACCCTTCGTCCCCGTCGGGGGGAGCTGAAAACAGGGCAAAATAGGGGATAGCTGGGTCTGGGTGACGTGTGGTGTGACCAATGTGACTTTATATCACTGAGGCATTACTTTAGCCATAAAGGCCGACCCGGGTTACCCCGAGACTGGCTAAGGGGCTCTGGTGAAACCGTGACTGTCCAAGCAAGCCGACGGCGGATAAATCATGCTACAAAAAGAACAAATGAGAATCCACAGACTAATTCAAAAGGAAAAAGAGCAGGAAAAGTAAACAGACAGCGAGCTAGAACAACGATTAAAATAGGCACATGGAATGTCAGCGGACTTGTGACAAAGAACCAGAAATAGTTAATTTCATGGAAAGAAAGAAAATAACTATCATGGGTTTGTCATATATAAGGGAGAGGAAAACATGGTGTACGAGTAGCTTTCATCATACACCCAGCCAAAATGGTTACAATCTATGTAATCAACCAGATCTCAGAGATAATAGTGAACATAAAACTCATAGAAGGTGGCAAAACAACAACGTACATCCAAACATATGCTTCTGGTTACTACAGCTATACAGAAGAAGATAGACAATCATATTTCCAAGACCTGAGTGACTACATTAACACCATAAAGAACAAAGAAGATGTATTTATCTTGGGAACTTAAAATGGCAGAGTTGGACAAAGAAGAACCCCCTGGGAAGAGTTATTGTACTTGGGACCCAACAGTGATAAAGATACAGACTGTAACAGCAATAGAGAAATGATGCTAAATCTATGCGCATAGCTCAACATGAAGATTACGAACACATTTTTCCAACAAAGACGAAGCCAAATCAAAACCTGGTAGGCTACAGATGGAATGACCTGAACCATGCTTAACACATTGCGTTCACCCTGAAGCGCAGAAAACAAAAAACATACAGCCAAAGATTCGAGAGCTGTTCTAAACTACATCATCGACATTGACCACAGACCTGTGATACTTACTCTCACGACAACCAGCAATGTAAAGCAGACAAAAAAGAACAGGGGGAAAAACCACGACCCACCTAAGAAAATTTGAAGAACCAGGCATCAAAAAGGCAACCGAAGATGACATTGCCAATTACCAAGGAGTACAATAAGCTGTCACCTGAGACCAAAGACGTAGAAGACGAATGACAAACATTTAAAAATCCCTGTAAGAAATTCTGCAAAACAGTTGTGGCACCAAAAGAATAGGCGGAAACAAAAACAGAGCAACATACTGGTGGAATGACGAAAGCAAAAAAGCAATAATAATTAAAATGAAAAAGAAGATATTAAAAAAAACGTCAGAAGTCAAAGACCGAAGAGGACTATGTATATAGAATACAGGAAAATGAGAAAAGAGACCAAAAGAATAATCAAAGCAGCTAAAGAAAATGCATAGAAATATATGGCGAGAAACTGACCAAAATCTGCAAGGAAAACCGTAGAGAGTTTTATAAAAGTGTGAACAGCATGCGAGTAAGAAAAGACCCATGCAACCCGACATGCACTATAAACGATAAAGAGGGTAAAGCCATTCTCAGCAAGCATGAAATTAAGAAAAAATGGATAAATTACTTTCAAGAACTACTCAACCCAGACGCTTGCCACGGACAACAAGAAGAGTTCCAACCACTATATGGAGAACATACAGAACCACCCATATTTCTAAGTGAAATCGAAAAGGCACTGAAAAATCAGCCCCAAGAACAAAGCCCCTGGAAACACCAGCGTTCTGTGGCTAAAGCGAATTTTAAATAGAACCTGGGAGCAAAAGAAATGCCCAGAAGACTGGCCCCACAATGGAAAAAGAAAGGCAACAAACGGGACTGCACAATGTACATAATTAAGCATCTCTTTATTAACACGTAGGGAAAATATACTCAAAGATACTAGAACAGCGGATAAGACATATTGTAGAGAGAAATCTCAGCAAAGCTCAGTTTGAATTCAGAAGGGTAAGATGATGCACGGATGCTGTATTCGCTTTAAGACAGATATGCGAGAAAATAATCGAACACAACAAAGAATCCAACATCGTCTTTATAGACCAGAAGGCTTTTGACAGAGAGTAAACAATGCAAAAATCTGGAAGACACTCGAAAAGTATGGCGTCAGAGGACAAATTACATTAGATAATGTCAGAGCTCTATACACCAAAAGTAAAAGCTCAGTAAGAAGGAAGGAAGGCAATAAAGACTGGTTCAAACTAAGATCTAAAGTACGACAGGGGCGCACTCTATCTCCCCTCCTGTTTATAATATATAATATATATATACACATGTATGTATATTATATATATATATATATATGGACACAATAACGCAAACCAAAGCCCAGAAAGCCTAAATGAACTTCGCTTCGCAGACGACCAATATCTTATTCACCCAAACTAACAAAGCCTCCAGAATCACACTACCTAAATGAACAGCAGCTGAGAACAATTTAACATGATAATAAGCACATCAAAAACAGAAGTTATGAAAGTGAACAGAAACCATGGTCCCCTGAACATCCATGTCAATAGTAAACAACTGAAACAGGTGAAGGATTTCAAATATTTTAGCAGTACTGTTTCTGAAAACGGGTCCATAGACAGAGAAATAGAAATGCGAACCCAAAAAGCCAACGTTGTCACGTACTAGCTCGCACCTCTCCTATCCCATTCAAACATCTCCATGGATACAAAGAGACAGCTTATCACCTCAATATTCATACCAACACTATGCTAACAGTGCCAGACCTGGACATTAGTAAAACCCATGAAAGCAAAATCACTGCAAGCGAAATGGAATGTCTCCGTAAAACCCTAAACATCACAAGACGAGACAGGCAGAGAAATGAAGAAGTAAGAGCAGTTATCGGCCATGAGTCCTGCCTGCATTACATAGAAAGACAGAGAATAAAATGGTTTAGCAACCTGTTACGCACGTTACCTGGCCAACCAGCCTCACGAGCCTACAACACCATGCACTAAGGCTATAAAGGAAGAGGAAGGCCACGCAAAAGGTGAATCGAGGAAACCCTGAGAAAACATCATATTTCAACTGAAAGAGCTGCGGAGAAGGCCTACCATAGAAAACTGCACCTCCCCCGACGCTTAACAGAAACAGAGGATGAAAAAGTAAAAGTAAAGTAAATAATAATGATAAATATCACTATATATAGGCCTGTATAATAAAACCAGCGCATTCACTCTTTCTCTCTTTCCGAAAGACTTATAGCAGCCACATACAAAAAACAAAAACAAAAACAAAAACAACAATAATAACAACAAAAAACAAAACAAAGAAAAAACAAACAACAAAACAATACCCCCCACCCACAAAAAACAAAACAATAAAAAACAACCCAACCCCAACGACGACAAAAAAAAAAGAAATCTCCCCTGAAACCC